GATTTTGAGCATATATATATATATAAGTTATTTGCTTGTTATGGCTATACAAAGCTGCCTATTATATTGTTCTAAGGAAAACGTAATAAAAAAATAGCAGGATACTATTTTATTGTATAAAATAAAAATAATAGTTTGCAGCAAAAACATTTTTAGCAGACATAATAAAATCAAGTAATAAAAAAAATATAGTGCACATGCCCAGTGGCTGAAAACACTAATCCAGATAATATTAAAACCACATATTATAGAAAGCCCAGAAAATCTTTAAAAGGGTGTTATCAGCTGGTGCTGAAATTATTATCAAGCAAGGAAGCCTAGAAAGGAAGAGCATTCCAGAAGTAGTTGCCACATGTCTCACTTCACTTGCACAAGCACCTGGAATAAAACATATCTTCAGGACTGCATGGTCTAGCTAGATATATGAGAGTGAGGACCATATTTTAATATCCTGATGTGCATATAGGAGAGTGAGGACCATATTTTAATATCCTGATCTCAACCAATTAATTGACTTTAAGCAGGAACACCTATGCTTTGAACTGGGCCCAGAAGTGGAGCAGAAGCCAGAGGAAGCAATAAAGCCTTGGTATAGCATCATCAACCTACCCATACCCAATTAATACAACTTGCATCTTATTTCAGGCTACCTGGAATGTCTGGACCATGTAGTATGATTGCAGCTCCACATATAGTACATTGTCATATTCTAAACAGGAGGTAACCAGACAAGAGGTGGCCTGGCCATGAGGTTGGATGGATCCCTTGCCTCAGGCAGTGGATTAGTAGGGAGTTATGGATTGTACATCCTCTTCATTAGAAGGACCTCCTGCTGCCTTGTTTTTAGAGCAAGGCACCATAGCAGAGGAGTACTCTGGAAAAGCTTTCCTACTATGGGAAAAGCTGGTTCAAGAGTAGCATCATGTGGGCAGTCTTTTCAGAAAGCCTTCCTGCTCGTTTTTCTGCATTGACAGCAGCAAGAGAGCAACTAGTGAAGCTCTCTGAGGCAGATGCTCTAATGGTTCATCCTGATGAGTATGAACCA